GTTGTATAGCATTGGCGCTAGATTCGGGAAACGTGGCAAGGTATTAATTTCAGGATCGAAATTCATCGATGCGTGAATCGAATGATTCGATGCATCATTCGATGCGTGAAGTTTCAAATGACGATGCGTGATCGAATCATTCGATGATCATTCGATTTCACGCCAGTCGAATCATTCGATTCACGCACGGAATCATCGATTCACGCAGTCGAATCATTCGATTCACGCATCGAATCATTCGATTCACGCATCGAATCATTCGATTCACGCATCGAATCATTTGATTCACGCATCTAATGATTCGATTCACGATCGAATGATTTCGATGCATCATCTCGTATGCGTGAATCGAATGATTCCATGCCGTGATCGAATCATTCGCATGCATCTTTCGATTCACGCGATCGAATCATTCGCATTCACGCATCGAATCATTCGATCACGCATCGAATCGATTCGATTCACGCATCGAATCACTTCGATCTCTTTCTGATATAAAATCAAAATAATATGCCCGAGTAAATCAAATGTTATATGTGATAAATCGCAATGTTATATGTGATAAATCGAATGTTATATGTTGCATAAATCGAATGGTTATAGTGCTTGATAAATCAACCATAAAACAAAAATCGAATTATGACACAAACAACTTGCCATATCATATCTGTCCAGCCGCCGCCGCCGCCGCAGCAGACACTTTCCCTCCGCCCTCTATACTCGACCCCTAATTGACCTTAGCGTACCAAACATGGTCTACTTACACATCTGTGGGGAGAAGGTGTGCAGCCGTACCAAACACCACGTCACTGCGCTTTTATTTGCACTCTGCGACCTTGACCTTGATCATGATTTCCTTTTCGCTCTATAACTATAACTCGGCCCCTAATTGACCTATCGCGACCAAACTTGGTATACTTACACATCTTGGGGAGAAGGTCTGTCGCATACCAAAACCAGATCACTGCGACCTTTATTTCTTATTTTCCTTATTTTCTCCTACTTGCGCAACAACACTTGGTATACTTACACGTCTGAGAGAGAAAGTGCGCATTGGCACCTGTCTTTAACCTTTACGCTGGACTTGAAGATAATCTCTCCGACTTTTAGTCATTACTTATTAGTTATTTGTTTAGTTTTTACTCCATTTCCAGATTCGACATACTTGCACATCTGAGGCAGATCAGTTGTGTAACAAACCTTTGTCTTTGTGACTTATTTAACTTTGCCTACCTTCTACGTCCTTACAGAGATATTTCATTCATACTAGATCACGGGGGATACATGTAGTTGGCGACAACTGCCCTTTCTAGTTATCAATCGTCATTCATGGATTAACTTTCTGTAATTAACTTTATATTGCGGAGTGGCTGACTTGAAGACTGTACAGTACAGTCAATTCGCCCTCCCTCGCTGCCTTTATATAAAAATTATAATCTATGTAACCATGTAAATTTTTGAAAGCGTCGTAAATAAATTTCTAAATCTAAAAAAATCATGTAGCAAACAGAAGTCATACTACGTTACCATATTGTTAGCAATAACATAAATCACAATAGGCATACATTTTTATGTGTAGGCAATAAGAGACGATGATGCCTGCACACATGATGTAGGTCAACCCCCCACAGACTCTCAAGATCAGCAGTCACCGTTAGAAAACCCTGGTGCAGACCTGCCAGCCCTTAAAATTTTTTCGTATTTCTTACTAATTGCAAGATGTTCTTACGAATGTACGATCAAACTAAAAAACTTACGATTTTTTACGACTTGAAAATTAATGTGTTTTTTACATTGTGAGCCGAAAAATATCTGGCGATTGTGGGCGCAGCCATATTGGATCACGCGTTCACATTGTTCTCGCGTGATCTAGAGTTAGTCCCATCATTCATTGCGCGCATAACATACAAACAAAATGGCCGCTTGCTGCAAGAAAAGAAAAGCCTTACTATTTTCATGAATCACAGGTTAGCAGGTCTGCTGGTGACAGTGGTGAGAACACACTCGGAGACCTGCCTACATGTAGTGCGAACATTGGTGACACATTGGATGGCCTTCCTGCTGTGCACAGCAAAAGTGTGCAAGCATCACCACTTGTAAGTTAATTGCATTAAAATAATTGCATTTAATAGAATTAATAAACTTATTTCAGCAACGTCAATTTCATAGAAAGTGCATGAGTGTGATATATGTTTTGTGGATAGAACACAAACATGGGTAACATGCTTTTTGTTCAAATTACGCAAAAATATTTAAAAAAATGGTATACGAAGGGGGTACAGGGGGCAGTGTTACGGTGTGCATGGGGGCGGGTGAATGACATTCCGGTTGACTTTCCTACTGCTTTACAGTACAGTCGACGTGTTGAAAATGGTATACTGTTGTGCTGTCGTGTGTCGTAATGGGTCTGGGGCAGGAAAAGAAGCAAAGAGCTTTCATTGATTGCCAACAGAAAAGAAAATTAGGGATATCTGGCTTGCAAAAATCAGCAGAAAGGGCTGGGTGCCCACGAAACACACGAGGCTATGTGGGGATCATTTCGCTGCTTTTTCGCACCAAAGTGCTTTTTTGTGCCACACAATATAGCAGCTTGTGTTGGAATGCAAGGTTGAAGCAGCAAGCTAAAACCTGATGCCATACCCACAAAGTTCAGCCATAAAGCTTCAAGGGATGGTATTGGTAGTCGAAGGCAAAGCATTGCCTTTGCAAAAAGGAGAAATTTGGAGGTAAGTGACTATGTTGAAAGAATTTTAAATACCAGGTAGCTTACTACTTTACTTAGGCCCTAGAAGTAGAACTAGGTTTTAAGTTTAAAAAACGTGGTTAAAACATGAATTAAATGCGTCGTGGCTCTTCCAAAAGAATAACAACGTAATTTTCTGAATGTAATAGACTATTAGCTATAGACATAAGCCCATATGGTCTCAAAATATATGGGCGGTTGTTAGGCGATCATGTACAGGATTTATTCATGGCTTCCCTTCTATTCTGTGATTTTGTAATGCTGTACAAGATCAGTGATTATTTTCTCAGTTTATATGTATTTAAATTATCCTTTTTTGCTTGTTTCTGTAATTATTGAATTGTTGCTAATTGGTTAAATTTACAGGATTTATTCCTGGTTCTGTTGCTACTGTCTTTTCTTTGCATGAACTCTCTTCAATTATTGTGCTTTCACTTATTTTGCCTGTCAATTATTGTTCAGCGTTGCTTGTAATATGAGCGTTTTTTCCATTCTGTTAACATCTATATATATTTCGGACATGTTTATTTGTATTGTTGACATCGGGTTCATGTAGACTTAGGTTTATTTGCATGTAGTTACCTCCGCCAAGGGGTTGGCAGGAGGTTTTGTTTTCACTGGCGTGTGTTTGACTGTTTGTTTGTGGGTTTGTTTGTGTACAGGGGTCGAGTTATAGAGCGGAAGGGAAAGTGTCTGCGGCGGCGGCGGCGGCTGGACACACATGAAACCATAGTATCACCGCCGACTTCGTCGTATACAATTAAAAAAATTTTATGGACAGATTGTCATAAAATTTTCAGGATAGGTCAGAAATCGCCTAACTTAGAATTTATGAGATTTTCGTGGTGATCCAGATCCAATTAATTAACTAGAAACGAGCAGTTGTCACCAACTACATGTATACCCCGTGATCTAGTATGAATGGAATATCTCTGTAAGGACGTAGAAGGCAGGTAAAGTTACATAAGTCTCAAAGACAAAGGTTTGTTAGACAACTGGTGTGCCTCAGATGTGAAAGCATATATGGAATCTGGTTACCCTAGGAGGCCGAAGAGGAAATGTAAGTCGACAGTGAAGGTCAAACTAAGGTCAAGGGCAGTGGTGGTTTTGGTATGCGACAGACCTTCTCCCCAAGATGTGTAAGCATACCAAGCTTGGTTGCGCTAGGTCAATTAGGGGCCGAGTTAGAGAGCGGAAGAGAAATATGATCAAGGTCAAGGTAAATGTGAAATAAAGGTC